TTGGTCTTTGTATGTTTGTTTTATTTCTTTCCCAGGAGAACTGTATGCATAGCACAGTATCTCTGGCTTGGGTTTGTGCGTTGGTTGTTTTTCTTCCACTGGCTTTTATGGTTTGTGCGACTTTCTTTTCCACTGGAAGGGGCAAATCAGAAAGGGTGCTGCTGGAGATGGCTCTCCTGCTTCTGGGGACTTGCTCTTCTGTTTATGAGCTCTTGAGAAACTTCTTGCCTAAAGTTCCCCAGTGGGAAATACCTCGCTGTGCCAGAGGGGCAATTACTGGCATATCAGTGCTTGTTTCAGCACCCTGAAAGAGATAAAGGTCTCTCGGGACTGGCTGGGCACTGCATGGGGAGCCAGCCTGGAGAGCAGAAAAGAGGCTTGATGAGCTTGTAGGAGCCCAGGCAGCTGCTGTGGGATCTGCTGTGGGAGCTCCAAAGGAGCTGCCCAGAGAGGTCAATCATTAGTGGATTTAGCTCTTCCTTGTGGCTGAAGTTATCAGAATGCTTGTAATGACGTTCAAATTGCTGTATTCCCATCTTCCCTGCGGGCTGTGAGATACCTTGATGATTGCCTTGTGGATGTTTTGCCAGCTTTTCTGGTGGGGCCCCTTCTTATCTAGTGTTGAAAAGGGCTTTCAGTGCGTGGGCTGCTGATGAGGAGGATCCTAGAGAAAGTAAATTCCTCGAAGGGCTTCTCCTTGCAGAGGTGCTTTTAGTTTTGCCTGACTGGTGCTTTTTTCAGCCTGCACTTCTTTGCCTTTGCAGGAGGAATTTGAAAGGGAATATTTTATCTGGTATCAAAAGTAGGGCTGGGTGGTGAGAGAGGAAAAACATTCACATCTTCCTGTCGTGATATTTTGGTCTGGGTGCTGAAATCTGGTCCCCATACTTCCAGGCTGCTGGTTAAGATGTATTTTCAGGTGACTTTTAGGCAGCATTTGGATGTCTCGTGCTCTTTGAATGCCTCCCCTGTTTGTGTGGTGAGCTGCTGCTAGTGTTTGATCTTCAGCTTCCCTGCTGCCTCCCAGTTCCCTATGGAGGGGTCATAGGGGAGGGGATGGAAACGGGAATTGTTCCCTTCACTGTCACCAAGGTGTCTTTGCCACCAGCCTGGGGGGAGACCTAAAGCTTTTCAAGGCAGGTTTGGCCCGTGTGGTGTGTAGGGGAGGGCTCCTGGCCACAGGGTAGAGGCCCATCATCACACACCCTTCTCCCAGTGCTTCCCTTTGGGTTTGCATTCAGCACTGCAGCTCCCTGAAGCCAGGTGAGCGATGCTTCTTCCCTCTTAAAGAGAAAAGCAAAAAAGGTACACAGATTTTTGCTGCTTTGGTGCTACCAGGCGAGTGTCCTTCAACCTTCACCTGAGCAGCCAGTACTGTGCTGGGGCTCAGCTTGCAGGCTCTGTGGCTTTGCCTCTGGGTCTCAGGTTCTCTTCTCTCAAAGTCTGTTTGGAGATGACAGTCCTGGCTCCTGGAGTGCAGGCAGGAGCAGGGGGGTCCCCTCCCTCTCCGGGCTGACCACGAGG